CGCTTAGAGACGGTGACATCTTTGTATTTTTCCATTTACCACTGCATCAATTATAAATCCAATTCAGATTATCAAAAATTAGAACACTAGCACCCAACAACTGGTACATCTTTATTCAACCCCAACATTAAGGAATTCCCCCCTTCCCTCTTTTTCTCTAGCTACCACTATGGAAATCATAAGTAATTGTGGATAAAGACGAAAGAGAAGTTTCTAGGCTTCAAGTTTAACAAAAGGACAAAATACCTCCTAGAACATCTCTTCTCCAAAGCTCCCCCTTATTCCAACTGTAACAACTCAAAAATATGACTCCTGTCACTAAGAGCATCTCCAATACTTACTTAAACCTAAATTTGAATAAAAACACGCTAAAAATAATTAACAATCTTTCATTCAAACTCATACCAAATAGAGAGAGATTAATTTTTTTAGTCAAATGAAGGGAGACTCAAATTTTTACTTAATCTGTAATGGTCAGATTTCACACTTTAATGGTCATATCTCACCCTTATTTAAAATTGGATTTGTCTATATTTAAATTTGAGATTGTCCTCCTTTAAATTTGAGNTAACAATCTTTCATTCAAACTCATACCAAATAGAGAGAGATTCATTTTTTTATTCAAATGAAGGAAGACTCAAATTTTTACTTAATCTGTAATGGTCAGATTTCACACTTTAATGGTCATATCTCACCCTTATTTAAAATTGGATTTGTCTATATTTAAATTTGAGATTGTCCTCCTTTAAATTTGAGTTTCTCCATTGGAATGCTTTGTATCAATTCAACCTTTTTACTCATATGCTACTAAAATTTGAATCAAGGATGGAAGTGGAGATGGCCTAAATAGTAGCAGTATTTTTTTTTTTAAAGGAAAATTGAGGGTAAGCTACAAACCAGATGGAAGTGTTTGAGAAACATCAGCTCTAGGATTGCTTAGTATACATTGAAATTGAAACTCAGGATTGGATCAAACTATTATATTGGTAGATGGTGCTGATCTATAAAAAAAAAGTAGTTTTCTAATTGTCTTTACCTTCTACCACCCCACTGCCACTACTCTATCCCCACAACCGCCACAATACTGTTGTCACTGGCCCACACACACCACCATTGTCACTAGCACCACAACTCCACCATTCCATTGCCACTATCACCACCTTCGCCCCCACCATGATACCACCACCACCACTACCATGGTGATGATGATACCAGTGGCAGTATTTGGTCGCAATAATGATGATATGGTGGTGGGGTTAGTGGTGATGGTTGTGGTGGGATGGTATTAATGAGGTGGTTGCGGCAGTGTGATGGTGGTCTCGACGATGATAAAGTAACAGTAGAGTGGGGTGGGGNAACGGCAGCTGGTGGGTGTCAGGGTGTGAATGGTTGAAATGAGGGTGCAAGACATTGTGATCAAAATATTTGCGCACAATTGATCCATCATGAAGATTTTATAAATCTTTATTCAATAGCTTATTCAACATTTAGTGGTACACAAGATACCTGCTACTTAAAATTTTTGTTTATTTTAATGAGGTACTTCAATTTTTAAGTGATATGAATTTCAGCTATGTGCACAATATTTTCAGTTTTGAGTGCTGAATTTGCGGCTGATTTGTATCATGACTTGCAATTTGTATTGGTGCAGAAAGATGGACACCAGAAAACCAGTTTACATGGGAACAATAAAATCCCACCAAATGTGGACACAAACCCCAAAATGTAAAGGCAAACAAAATGCAAGCAAGTTCAATTTTTAGTACAAATGTTTTGTGACACAAGGACAAAAACAGCAGAGATCNGAGACACAAACCCCAAAATGCAAGCAAGTTCAATTTTTAGTACAAATGTTTTGTGACACAAGGACAAAANGGACACAAACCCCAAAATGTAAAGGCAAACAAAATGCAAGCAAGTTCAATTTTTAGTACAAATGTTTTGTGACACAAGGACAAAAACAGCAGAGATCCTCCAATAATTACAAATCAAAAGGAAAATAGATATCAAGAAAACCAAATTCTTTCCAGATTGGGACTTAAACAACAAAAACTAAAACTTCAACACCAAATTCCAACAAAATAAAGAACTGTTACCCAAACCTTCAAAAGTAGTAAATCCAGGCTTAAACCAATGATTATCAAAAAGAAAACAGCAAACCTACGAACCATTTCTTCTACGTCCCCCCATCACACAAACAAATGAGAAAATTCAAGGTAATTCTAGCCAACATATAAAGACATAATGAACTATCCACAAATGTTGGTGTGCCAATTTCTCATAAATTAAAGCATTACCTGCTGCACTTTGAGCGCCTGGCCTCCACACCTAATCTATTCATCACCTTTAACCTCACCACATGCTCTCTTGACTGCACAGTTGTCAAAACCATACTCCTATACCTGAGAATGAAGATACCCATTCCTGTCAATCTCAGGTCGGGTATACTTTGTTACAGAGAGGACAAAGAAAAGGAGATCACGACATTGACCTTGAGGCCAGTGCAACAGAGATGGCAAGATTAGTTGCATGGGAGGGTTGTGGTTTTTGGTGATAATAGCAGATACATTTAGGCCCATAAACAGATCTTGGATACAGAATCTAATCTGATCTGTTTATTTGGCAAATGCAGAAATTCAACCCACATCCAAATCAATTAAGAATCGGAAGTTCGATCCTTTTACCAGCCCCAATTCATCCGAGATTCACAGCCATCAATTCAACAAATTAAGACCCCTTCCAGTGAAATCTGTCGTCCAGAGTCTCAGAGGATGAATATCTGACATATTATTTTCTAAATTCCTGATATAGTTTCTCATCATCCAAACAAAATCTTGTGTCAAACAATGCATCTTGGAAACCAATATATTCTACTGAGGAAACTGTTAAGCAAAGATAAATTGAAAATATGGTCTTACGTCTCAATGTAATAAGTGACCAAGTTTGAGGAACAAAAAAGGGATTGATACTACAATATGAAGAAGATATTGGATGACAAGCTAAAGTTCTCTTACAGATTAAAGATACTGATTGTCATATGCACAAAAGGTTACAAGATTGTTTATCTAATTGAAATGAGCAGCAAAAGAGATAATATATATAAGTAGCAGAAAAACTAAAACCTGTTACAATAATCATGACATAGGTGTAACTCTGCTTTTTCATCATCATCACCATTGTCATGATGCACTTTGCTATGACTCTTAGCAGCCGTATGTTCCCTCACCGCTTCCAGGCTGCTGAAAGGATGACCTCTTTGATTGCAGTACAAACAAATGAGGTCCCTTTTTAACCTGAAAAATAGAACAGATAGATGGGCAGTGAAATAACTATTACAAGGCAAAAAAAATTTCAAAGAAAATATTGACTAATAACACTATAACAGTAATGATCAGTACAAAGCCTTTATATCCAAAAAAGTAATATGCATCTTACCTTCTGGCCAACATAAGTAAGACAGCTTCTTTGCTTCCATCATCTTTTCTATTGTGTTATGATAGATCACACATAAAAGCAACAAGATGGATTCAACACTTCAAATCCATCATCACATTGTGTCATCATCCATATCATCATTAGAGGCAAGCTCATGCACATCCAAATGATGCAACCATATTGTGGCTATGCCAACCACGTCTTCCTCGGGGTCAACCTCTTCCCTTTCACCTTCTTTGCTTTCTTCACTGCCTCGCTGTGTTGGTTGTGAAGATGATACACAACACTCAGGTGGAATTGACCTGATTACCTTACTTCCATCATCTTGATTTCCCTGGAAGCTCACACTATGTGGCTTCGCGATTTAAGATGCTGAACATGAGCCTGGAATCAGTTGGCATCAACACTCTTCTTATGGGTTAGTAGATAGAAATTACATAACAAGAGAAAGAATTGGTAAATGCAGAATTCCGGTAGGTTGACTGAGAGCCTGCAAACTGCAGATGAACTGAAAATGGGCACTAAGATGAAATAAAATATTGGTAAATGACTAGTTATAAATTCTATTTCCCTCATTCAGATTACCATACACCAGAGGATCCATATCCCGTGACAGACAGGAAAAAACCTTCCATTTGAACACCAGTTCATTATTCGGAGTTTACAAACATTAACAGATCCCAAAATCCTCAATGTGCTGGAAAACATTTGCACATTATTTCTTTCGCTTGATCTTTTTCCATTTCTAGGTGAAGGTTTTGCGTATACCATGTATAATTAAGGAATGAAATTCATTCATACTGTGCTTTTACTAATCCATTCATTTTTCAAAAAGAAGAGACTTACCACTTGAATTAACGGTCACAAGACAACAAACAGTGCAGTTTGAGGCTCAATAATATGACTTGCAACACAACTTTGTTTAACATTTAAGTCCTTATAGCCATACCTAACAGATGGCTCAATCGCGAAAAATAAGGTACAGCAATGATGACTTACTAAGATCTCAGTCGCCGTTACTTTTGTGCTTTACAAGACAACCAACCATGGAAAAAATAGATGAGCCAAAACAAAATAGGATTTACAACCATCCCTCAAAATGATAGTACAAGAATATGAGCCAGATGCTGGTAGTTGCATTCTTAATAGTTTTGAATTACAATGCCAAGTGCACCGACATTATTGATTAATAGACCTGTGAAATTATAACTCAACTGGCAAGTGGGGCACAAACTTGAACAGGAACATACAATTTTCCAAGTACTCCTGTCACTATCTAACAGTTTGAAACCAGAGGCATCTTACCCAAATTTGGTTCAAATATCTCCTCGACTCAACTCAAGCTTTAAACCCAACTTCTTTAGGAGTCACTTCATAAGTCTCTGTNAAGTACTCCTGTCACTATCTAACAGTTTGAAACCAGAGGCATCTTACCCAAATTTGGTTCAAATATCTCCTTGACTCAACTCAAGCTTTAAACCCAACTTCTTTAGGAGTCACTTCATAAGTCTCTGTTCACCTAGCTCCAAACATCACTTGGAAAACAGTCCTATAGCTCAAGGCACCTATTTCTGATTGTCCTTTTTCTTCAGCGAACCACTTAGAGCGGCTTTAGCGGTCATCCATTCTCTCATGGAAGCAGCGCTCCTCATGAAAGAGCAAGTTTCCCCAATTTTAAAGTTTGCCGTTGATGAATGCTTTGGCACTGAAATGGGGTTATTCACANAAGCAGCGCTCCTCATGAAAGAGCAAGTTTCCCCAATTTTAAAGTTTGCCGTTGATGAATGCTTTGGCACTGAAATGGGGTTATTCACAAAAGTTGGACCAGAAACCTCAACTTTCTTTGTGACAGTCTCAGATTTCTTTTCATGATTAGTCTGCTCAACATAAACACCAGTAGGGCTCTGCTCTTCATTGGAACCACACGGAACTGTAAGATGTTCTGCGTATACTCCTAAAGCCTTAGAAGAATTTCCTATGGGTTCATCTCCACTTGACTTGATTAAATTGCAATGTTCACCATCCATCGAATTTGCAGCATCCATGCTGTTGGACTGTACTGGCTCTTTGTTTCGTAAACTTAAGTCGGGCAAAATCTGGGTTATGCTGAATGAACATCTGTTTGCATCACCAACCAGTTGTGTCCATGTGGATTCTTTTAGCCATGAAGCACCTCTGGCAGATTTACCTGCAGCCACCTTTGACTGAGCAGCGGGAGCTTCAGCAAGGTCTTTCGGCTCTTTTGATTGGCCTGGTTGGCTTTCCAAAATCCCATGCTTTACATGTTCCTGTTTTTTCTCTTCAGTATGGTAGGGCACATTCAGACCATGAGATCTTGGTAATTCGTCTTTAATAGCAACACTTGGTAGTATTTGTGACATGTGGAATGTAGTGCTGCCCCTGTCACCAACCAGATCTCTCCATTTAGATTTCTGTGACCATGAAAGATTGCTAGTTGACTGCTGGGAACCTAATCCTGATTTCATGCTTTGACCTTGTAGGTCAGTCGCTGACTCGTTTGGATGGGTTCGCGGAGTCCCCTTGGTTTTGGAGATAGCAGACACAATTTCAATTTCATCACTCTCTTCACTGAGATGTAGTTTTTGCTTCTTATGTAGTTTTTCCTTCTTATTAAAGGTTATAATCTTCCTTTTCTTACTGTCATGCATTTTTGAAGCTGGTGTACCTTCAGAAGGTTCTGGACCATTAAATCTTAACTCCTGCACATCCAAAGAACGATAAGAGAGAGAAAGTCAGGGTTTTAACAAAGCAGGTGAAACTCCACAGTCCACACACAAAATGAAAAGTGCAAACACACAAGAGCACTGCACCTATTAAGCATTAAAGCACACCTGAGTTGCAGTTTTTTTTTCCTTTCTATGGCTCCCGAACAAAGTCAATCTGTCATCTCCCCCAGCCACCATGTTTAATATGAGGTTATCTTCATCACTCACATGATCTTCCTCAGTCTCATTACCTAACCCACCATCCACTGAGTTGAAAGAATTGTCCCCTTCCTTAGCCAGTCCAGCATCACTAAATGCACCCTTCGAACAATTATCATTCTCAAAGAGCTTGCTCATCACTGATCTCATCATGTTAATCTCTTCATCCTTTATCCCTCCACTCCCTGTTTCCCCATCACAAGGTGGTTTTTCTTTGCCCACGTGACAAGGATCAGAATGGTCCTCACAATCACAAAAATGGATTGGGAAAGAAGGCACTTCAACGCGTTGGAAACTGTATTTGTGCTTCCCAGTTCCACTGAAAGGCACTGATTTCACCTAGAAAGGAGTACTGCTGTGGTCAGAATTAGCATCAAGTAAGAGTTGAAACTCTGATACAGAAAGCATCATCATACTCCACAACTAGAAGTATAATGCAGGGCAAAAAAGGTAGTACCCAAGGGCGTACACCTGCATGTGTGTGCACAGGGGGTGTGAAGGGGGGCGTGCCTCACCTTATTTAGTTTGGGAAAGAAAATCCGAAGCTGCACCTTTTCTGTGTTAGGGACTTTATTTGGCTTTTCCATAGAACTAAAGTTTTCAGCTGCATCAACACTATAACTAGATGCTTTATTTGCAAGTTCAGCATCTTCTTCCCACTCATGCCTCAGGCGAAGAAGATAGTGTTCTTTTGCCTTCTCAAGTCTAAGCCTCCCTCCTTTCCACATGCAACCATTATACTGTAGAGTTGCATGTTAAATGACAAGCATAAGCAGCAATATCTAGTACACATGAAAAAAGATGTCCAACCTTCAAGCTGCTAAGAAACTAATAAAAGACAAGGCACCACACACACCCAGGGAAGGGAACATGAAAAAAAAAAATAGGACTTTAGAATAAATAAGTTTACTCTTCCAACTTTTAAAGAAGGATAAAACTATAGTCTATCAGCATATATTCCCTTATCATCACTTGTTCCATAATTCAAATGTGCATAATTATTTATTCAGAACCAAACAAAGTAACCAAAAAAGCAAATCCAAGCTAATTGGGATTTGATATGATAGTTCCAAAAAATGGTACACTTTACACCGGAACACAAAATTAAAGATCCAAAACACTTTTTAGCTATATCGTCCTATAACTCTTTTCTTCACGGGAACACACACATAAAATGGTGACCTGACATTTAATAAGGCATAGCTTCTTAGTTANATAACTCTTTTCTTCACGGGAACACACACATAAAATGGTGACCTGACATTTAATAAGGCATTGCTTCTTAGTTCCAAATAGAACCACTTTTTGTTGCCCTTTATTGGATTCACTTATGAAACAAGGCTCAATAAAATATAAAGTAAACATACAACAAATATTCACATGCACCCAGAATGATACACGGCAAAGGATACCTAAACTACATACAAGACATCAAAAGATTATGAGAACATAGGGACCTAAAGTCAGCCAAAGAGGTACATATCGTTATCTCCTAGAACTCCCAGAAAATAACCAACCCTCCCTAAAAACAAAGCCTTCCTCTTTTGCAATCACCCCCATAAACCATCATCACCACTATGTATATACCTCCATTTTGGTTTACACCATTGCAAGCTAAATCTGGACTTTAATCTACCAAGGTAACTCATCTTCATAACATGATGTTCCCTCTTTTTTTGGAAACATCTTCTCACATGCAGGAAAACGCTTTGTATATCTGACCATCCCGGGAGCCCTTGCTTTTTTTTTTTTTATTATTATTATTAGTTCAAACTTTTTAATCTTACTATTTTTAAAAGAGAAATGTTATTTGAACATAATTTAGGGATCTAATTTGAGGATATAATGTATTGCTATCATTAAATGCAATCTTTTTGCTAATTCAAAGGTAGCATTGCATTAAGCCTCTAAATTAGGCCTATGAATTAAGTACACTTAGTATTTTTATTGCTAAAAATTGCTCCACTTTGCCAAATTAGGGGCTCCGCCCCTGAAAGCAAGCACCATTGCCGAAAACGGGGATTAGGATTTTCTGGGCTAAGCAAGTTTATCGAGCAACCATACAAAAAATGATCAAGTAAACTAAACAGGCTTTGTCAACCCACCCCGTCCACCATTTCAACAACAAAATGAATACAGCAATTCAAAGAACATGAAAATTCGANTATCAGCATATATTCCCTTATCATCACTTGTTCCATAATTCAAATGTGCATAATTACATTTTTCCTTTTGCCCATTCTTCCCAACTCTTTTGACAATGAATCTCTAGGTGTTGTAATACTCCTCAACCATACTTCATTGGATCAGAACCAAACAAAGTAACCAAAAAAGCAAATCCAAGCTAATTGGGATTTGATATGATAGTTCCAAAACATGGTACACTTTACACCGGAACACAAAATTAAAGATCCAAAACACTTTTTAGCTATATTGTCCTATAACTCTTTTCTTCACGGGAACACACACATAAAATGGTGACCTGACATTTAATAAGGCATTGCTTCTTAGTTCCAAATAGAACCACTTTTTGTTGCCCTTTATTGGATTCACTTATGAAACAAGGCTCAATAAAATATAAAGTAAACATACAACAAATATTCACATGCACCCAGAATGATACACGGCAAAGGATACCTAAACTACATACAAGACATCAAAAGATTATGAGAACATAGGGACCTAAAGTCAGCCAAAGAGGTACATATCGTTATCTCCTAGAACTCCCAAAAAATAACCAACCCTCCCTAAAAACAAAGCCTTCCTCTTTTGCAATCACCCCAATAAACCATCATCACCACTATGTATATACCTCCATTATGGTTTACACCATTGCAAGCTAAATCTGGTCTTTAATCTACCAAGGTAACTCATCTTCATAACATGATGTTCCCTCTTTCTTTGGAAACATCTTCTCACATGCAGGAAAACGCTTTGTATATCTGACCATCCCGGGAGCCCTTGCTTTTTTTTTTTTTTTTAATTATTATTATTAGTTCAAACTTTTTAATCTTACTATTTTTAAAAGAGAAATGTTATTTGAACATAATTTAGGGATCTAATTTGAGGATATAATGTATTGCTATCATTAAATGCAATCTTTTTGCTAATTCAAAGGTAGCATTGCATTAAGCCTCTAAATTAGGCCTATGAATTAAGTACACTTAGTATTTTTATTGCTAAAAATTGCTCCACTTTGCCAAATTAGGGGCTCCGCCCCTGAAAGCAAGCACCATTGCTGAAAACGGGGATTAGGATTTTCTGGGCTAAGCAAGTTTTATCGAGCAACCATACAAATGATCAAGTAAACTAAACAGGCTTTGTCAACCCACCCCATCCACCATTTCAACAACAAAATGAATACAGCAATTCAAAGAACATGAAAATTCGAATACCGAACGTTTGCATAATGCCAATGTTTCCGAACTTTGATTTAATTATCTCAGAAGATAAAAAGCGAAGAATCAAAGGGAAAAGAGAGAGTACCGTGCTAAAGAGCTTGGCAAGGGCTTTCTCGGAAGAGGGAAGAAAATCCAAGTAAGCGAAGCTGCGACCATTCGTGCGAACTATATCTGCAGACTCCACTTTCCCCAATGGAGAGAATGTTTTGATTAAATCATTTTCTGTAACGCTCAATCCCAGTCCCCCTATGTATATCCTCATCATCTTCTTTGTTGCTGCTGTGCCATCAATATCATCCTTATTGTTATTCTCATTTTCTTCTACTTCCCTTCCCATATTCTCCGAATCAAAACCTCCTCAGGGAAAAACTGTGTACCGCAGCGGCAAAACCCTAGGAAAAGAGTTTTCGATGAAAGAACTCCGAGCAGAGAGTATGAGATTGCACCTCAATTAGGCTCACATGGGCCTTAGTCGTCGGATCGTGGGTATTTTGGTCCCACTGGTTATGGGCTCAAATGTTACGGAGAATTACACTCGGTCCCTAAAGATTTATCTATTAATCAATCAGATCCCCTAACATTTAAAATATTGTACAAAACTCTACGATGTAATACTTAGACCCTCTCGTCAATGTCAATTAGTAAATTATATTCAGACCTCCTGAAATATGTAGACATGTAATACTTCGACCCCTCAAGTTTAAAATGTTCTAGTTAGACCAAAAATGAAATATCAAATGTTTTAAATTTTAGAACTAAAATTCATATTCTATTATAACATTTATTGAAATAAATTAAAAATATATTTTTTTTCTTAAAAAATTGTAATTAATATATAATTATACTATCTATTGGAATTTAATTTGGTCGTTTAAACCATCAAATTAAACTACCAAATTATCCTCATTAAAGTTTAAAATATATTGTATCCATTACAATTTGACCTCTTATTTAATTTTTTTAGTTTTATTTTCATAGATAATATAATTGTATACTAATTATAATTTTTTAAGAAAAAAGTACATTTTTATTTTAATAAATGACATAATATAACATGAATTTTGGTTGTACAATTCATATTCTATTATGAATGACTTAGTCCTTTTGTTTGATTTTTTAGTTTTATTTCAATAGATAATATAATTGTATACTAATTACAATTTTTTAAGAAAAAATTAGCTTTTATTTTTAATTTTATTTCAATAAATGATATAATAGAATATGAATTTTTGTTATAAAATTTAAAATATCTGATATTCTATCTTGAATTTGAGTATTTTTTTGTCTAAATATAACATTTTGAACTTGAAGGATTTAACTATTATACGTCTACAATTTTTAGGGGTTTGGGGTGTAATTTACTAACAGATATTTGATGATAGGAGTCTAAGTTTTATGCGCTTACAAACCTCAGGAAACCTATGTATAATATTTTAAATATTATGAGTCTAAGTGATTACGTTGACAAACCTTAGAAAATCTGAGTATAATTCTCCCCAAATGTTCTAATTGACCCTTAAAAAACATATTTTGTGGTGTTAATATTCATTTTTTTTTTGTTTTGAATGTTACTATTTTTTGTTTTGAGTGTTACAATTTATGTCATGTATATATATGATCATAATCTATATACGTATATACAAAAAGATATGAGAGAGAGAGAGAAAAAATTAATATTAATATTTAAGAGTTATTAGTTTTTAATTTTTTTTTAATTAAATATTACTAATAAGAGTATTTTGGACAATAAAGATTGAAATAGACTTATTCACAAACAAAAATTTTGAGTGAATTTAAGTCCAAATCAATATTAAAAAGTAGACTGCCCTCCAAATTTTTCTTATTTTTTATTTTGCAAATATAAAGTAAAAAAAAGCAATTTAGGGATACATGCAACTTCAATTATTTTTCTATATAAAGATAAATAATTCTATAAGAGCATATGTGATTGTTCAAACAAAAAACATATAGGTGCTATTTTTTTTTATTAATTAATAATAGAATAGAGAGTGAGTTTTGATCTCCAAATGTAGAGATTCAAATTAGGATTTGTATTTTAACTAGTCTAAATTGAGAGACTATGAAAATGAGTAAAAATCGAGAAATTATTAAAAATACTCTAACATGAATTGAAAATCGTTAAATATATCAAGACATATTATGTTCCGAGCAATGCTTAGTCCAAAAAAATTAAAAGCAAGGAGTAAAAAAATAGTCCAACCTAACCGACAATTGAATCTTTTTTTATTTGCAACTACTATAGTGGCTTACATTTGTCATTTATTTCATTTTAGAGGGGGTTAATTCTTAGAGTTTTAACTTCTATGATATCTATTGCGTGGTTGAGCATTTTTCTATTACTCGTTAACCCCTTCAAAACTTAAAAAGCTCACATTGCACCATAATTTTTCTCCATGTAAAAATTTAACTCAATAAATAAACATTTAGTTTAGAAAACCTAAAAGCTTTAAGTGTCATTTAATGTTATTATAGACAAAGCAACCAAATACCGTATAGTTATTAGGAGATATTACTCTTTGAACTTTTTACAATCAAAAGATCAATATGAGACTTTTAATCTTTGAAGGGACCAAGTATAATTTCTAAAATGTTAATGGGGGTAAAATGCTGTTAATCCACAATGAAAATTTGCTTTTTGATGTGCAAGTTACATAGACTTGTGATGATGTTAATGAAGAGATTTATGTTTGGTTTACTGATCAATTAAACAGCTCTACACAGGTTTCCAATTCTAAGAGCAAGAAAGTTTTGGTCATTAAAAAAGAAGTGAACAACCTCCTAAGTCCATTGCATCTCTTAATCAAAATCCTCCTTTCACCCTTTAGCCACCCTTTTTTTGAGCTGTCTGCTTTCTACACCCCTAAAATATCTTTCACACCGATCGATCTGCAAATTCATGGAGAAATCAGCTAGCTCATACGAACAGACATCAAGGGTTACTATCTCGTGGTCCTAAGTTTGTCTATTGCAAGAGAATCCATATTTACCCAACACGCATAATTTGGAAATGATTATACGAATCCAAAGTTCAAGTTGAAAATGAACCTAAAGTACACATGCTACAAAACATTCACCATTATCCCCAAAAAAGAGAGGAAAAAAAAACCATAGGAGGGTATTTTTCACCTTACAGCAAGAAGTAGCTTAGTATGTACAAAGGATCATGATGCTACAATAATACGCCCTCCTTTCTTTTCAGCACCTCCTCAACAGCATGACTAAATCGGAAGAAAATGTGATTATTATCTCACTGAACTAACATACAGAGCAGAAGAAAGAATTATTTGCCTCCGCAGAAAGTACCAACAAGAGATCTACAATCTGACATCCGAATAACTTGGCTGAAGAAGGAAAAGCCATAACCTTGTACCATGAATTATGTGCGAGTGCTGAACTCCATTTGAAACCGGTTGGCCACAAGTGAGGCCAAAAATGCAGAATATACGAACTGACAAAAAATAGCAACAAAATCATTTAATCATCAATAGACTCAGCGTTTGCTCCCTTGAGATGCAAGTGTTTTTCCCTCTTCTGAAAATCTGTCAAACCCTTTCCACTTCCAGTCACGCCTACCTTTCCAAATGGATCATCTGGGGATTTGAAGATGCTCTCTCGCTTGCGCCCTGAGAAGAAACCAATCTGGAAAATAAAGAAGAAATTAAATATGGAAGTAAAGTGAGAAAAAAAAAAAAAAGAACTACAGATTCAGAGAGTAGAATTAAGAAATAAAATGTGCTAAAATGCCATATCGATCCAGAAAGACAATTTTTGCTAGCTGAAAAGAAAAGGGTAAAAAGTTTCCCAGAGATATATCCACAAAAACTCAAAGGTTATACAATTTTTTATTCTCTAAAAAGCAGCATTGTAACAAAAATGACCTCAGATTTTTGGATCCCAGTGTTAAATAAATCTCTGTGCATCTAAAACCTATATATATATCTATAGGAGTTTGTGCAAATGTACCAGCTAAATATCTGAAGAAGCGTTATATGCACCAGGCTAATTACCCAATGGCCCTTGTATAAATGATCCATGATCTAAATTCATATTCGTTTTGGTTTAATAATGTGTGATGTGCTACTGAAAAGGTAATTGCTAATAGAAGTGAGTAGAAGTGGTCAAACAAAAGTAGTTCACTGAAAATCTGCATGTAAACTTATAAACTAGAAAGAAAATGAGGTATATATAAAGATTGTAATTATCTAAACTCAACTGTTCATGAGTCATTCTTTCTTGCTATAGGAACAGTTCAGGTCAACAAGTGCACAAATTCATGGTCCAAGATTGAAAGCATCCCTGTAGCTGTTTAGTGCTCCACATCCAGTAGTAACTCCCACCCAAAACTGGCCACCCAAGGATGACAAAGCCAGTAATGGGCTAACTACAAAGCCTGGCCACTTCTAATGTGTGGAGTTGTGTCCATGTCCGACAGGTGTTGAACACAAGCATTTCTAAATAACCTCTGTGTCAAACACTTTGAAGAGGCTTCCACTTTCTTTTTTGGGAAAATTACATCCACACCCCGGTCACTCCCTGTAATTAACCATATCTTCAGAGACACCCGTTGTATATTCTGAAACTTCCCAGTCACCCCTTGTCAATTGTTGCCGCTGACAGCGTTAACAAAGATAATGATTTTACTAAAATGCCCATCAGACATTTTATGTGTATTATACACTATGTACTGTATACATACAACTAACCTGTGTTTAACAGTGGTATTTGACAAACTAACCAGACAATATAAATTAAGCATCTAGAGTAAGTCATTGAGCCAATACCCTTGTACTGTCGCCTGGTTCAGAGAGAGAGAGAGAGAGAGAAAGGGTAGGCTGAGGAGATTCAATCAATCGATTCACTTGTTCTCTAAGAAGGTAAGTAGTCTTTGACTTGATTGAATCCTTGGAGTCGAAGAAGATCCCATCTTAAGAGGTTTGATTCGTTTGTGCTTCCGTAAGATCAAACCATCATCGATTAAATACAGTGACTCAAAGAAGATCTTGTCATCAAATAGGGGCAGAAACCCTAATTTTTTGAACAAAAACAGTAATTTCTTGACCTTAATTATTTGTATGGAAAACCCTAATTTTTGTTGTACGGAAAAAACTATTTTTTTACCCTAATTATTTTAATATGGAAAACCATTCTTTTGTTGTATGAAAAGTCGTATATTTTTGTATATATATCCTTGACTTTTTGATATGGAAAACCAAGTAGATATGGGTATGTCAGATCATTGGTGTTTAGTGGCAATCCTGTTTGTAACATTCTTTTCCTTTTTCATAGCTTGTTGCAATTTTTGGTCCTCGAGTTGGCTTGCCCTTCCCTGTGGGTTGAAAAACTTACAAATTTTACCTCTGTCCTATTCTGTTTCATACCAGTTGGTTACCCTTCTTATTGTATTCATGTTATTGTTTTCACTAGTTTTCATTACATTTCAATGCCAATCGTCTATGATTTACTTGCGGTTTTGTTGATCCAAAAGCTAATTAATATTTTTTCTAAGTTATATTTTATTTCCAAAGAAAGAGATTTTAACAACTTGAGATTAGATGTAATATTAAATTTGTTTCTTTTGAATATGGTTTTGTTCTTTTCTCAGTATTACATTTTACTGAGAATGGTTTTATTTTTTCGTTTAGTGTAAGATTTGTTGTTTTTTCATATTTGTAATTGGCTTTTATTTCTGAAAATTGACATATATAAGTTGTAATTTGTCTTGACTTGCTCTTTGAATATAATCACAAACAGTATAACATACAGAATATTGACCAAGATAGTTATTGGGGCTCAACATTCAGCATCTCAGGGAAGCACTGTAACTCAAAATAGTAATGAGCAAGTACAATTTCAAGTCTATGACATTATGGTGATTATAATTGTACTTTCTACTTTATTGTGATTCTAGTATATTGCAATTAACTGCGAAAGTAATGTTCCCCAACTTGTAGGCAACCAATGGAAGGGGTCTAGGAAGGGACAAGCAGGGCAAGGCTATGGGGAAGCATAAGCAGCTCGACTGGTTTTGAATTTTGGACTGTATTTTTTGACTGTTGATTGGGCAGTTGAAGTGTAATTCTCAGAGAAGCCATGTTCGATGTTCTTGGCAATTCTATTAGTAGAACCTGCTAGCCAAAATTTGAAGTAATAATTTTATCATTCCCACTCAATTTCAAAGACAGCAATTGATTAGTGCTTACATATGTGTGTATGCTTTACAAGCATATATATAGATGGTGATCAAGTTGACTATAAAAATGACCAACTAATGGTTTTCACAAGTGCGAAAGGGGCAGTCAAACGTACCTTCTTGGCCCGGCCTTTAGTTGTCTGGAATTGCTGCCAATCATTCTGCCTCTTATTCTGTGTAACCTCAAGTTGCTCTATCCGCATCTTTGACTTATACAAATGTATCTTCTTACGCTTAGCAACTTTCTGTTCCATGTAAATATGAGGATCAGCCAGTGTAAAATGAAGTAAGAATTATAATAAAAAAAATTCAAAAATCACAAACCAAACAGTATTGAAAAAACATAGCCAACAAGTTGACTAAGTAACTACAACCTAGATATCATGTTCACCAGAAGTGAATGTAGAGAAGCACATAAATGACAAGGTGACTAAGAGCCTGGAAATTATCAAATAAATGTGAAAGCAAATCTAGTTTTAGCTAATTCACCAAACTATATTCTCAGTTGGCTACAACTAAGAATTGGAAACCCCTATTGGAGGAAATCAAAGCATGGGTATCCGCAACTAAGAGGGAGCAGTGGATCATCGATTGAAGAGCCAGGTCAGTAAACTTCTATTTTTTATTGATTTGACTAGAGGAGAGGTACTCCTAGCAGCAAACTTGTATAAAAGGACCCCCCATAGAGACGCGGAGAAGCAGGAACTGCCAGCCGGATCGACCAACAAATGATAGGCCAGAGGGATGGGATCATCCGACTAATCAGTAATACCTGGGCCTACCTAACAGGAAAAGGTAAGAGTGCAACTCTATTTTCTCATAACAGTCTGGACTAAAATCTTGAACTGAGTGCCCTTAATTCCAGTTCACCAAAAGCGATCTCTGGAATTCTGGTTTCAGACCAAGCTTGTACTTGGTATTAGCGACAAAATTTTCAGAATTGTACATTACATAAGTGGCTGGCTTAAATGGTCAGTTGCTCCCACCCCCAAAAAAGTGGGTTATGGGTTGGGTTGTTTAAGTTATGGGGGAGCCGCAATAATTGTAGAAAATAGAAGAAAAACAGCAGTCCACACCCTGAGGCCCTGGCTTTTATAAGATATATAATTTGTTGCCTTGACAATGACCCAAAAATGTAAATGAAACATACCACATCTTCAGGGTCGTCAGGCTCAATACGAAGCTTTGCTGGTAAACTCCGTGACTGGAAGTCAGTAGCAGCAGCTTGAGCAACCTTCCGTTTAAGAGCTTGTTTTGTGGCCTCAGCTTCCCTTTCAGCTTCCAACAGAGAATTTACAGCCCCTTCTTCAACTGGCCTAATGTTAGCAGGATCCACCTGGTAACAACAATCACTAATGTATAATGCTTCAAATGATTCTGCATATAGAAACATTGAAGAAATTGGGATAAGTGCGGATGAATCTGGGTAACTAATAACAGCTTTTGACAAGCAAGAGGTTTTATTACTTTGTGCCAAAGGTGGTGTAACCAAAGAACCCTAAAGCATGTGAATCTACTTTTAGGTAATCTGAATATTCACATTTCTGTTTATACTTAGAAAGATGAGACGCTAGGTTGGGTTTTGTTGAATTGTCAGGAAGAGGTTGAAATCATAGATTCCTGGTCGTTTAAGCTTTTTTTAAAAAGGTCAAGCACACTTGTTAAGTGCCAACAAAAGGAGTTGTTAGTAGAAGTGGAAAGATGAATATGAAAATGATTTAGATGAGACGGATGATTTGCAACAGGCAATAGCAACAGTGGCAACGATGACATTGATGGTAAATCATGGTGGAAGTAGCATTTACAGCAGAGATGTAAGCAAAGAGACAGAGGTGGTTGTGACAGTAACAAAAGATAGCTGAGGTCATGACATGAGGGAAGATATCACATATGGCAGAGACAACAGAGGAAGATATGGCCCCACATTGATAGCCAGCAAGGCCCGTTGTGGCAGCAATTACAAGATTGTAAAAAACCCAACTAGTGGACAATTAAGTAAGAGTTGTTAACAACCACAACAGTGATTACAATGGTTACCTAGAAACAGACTCTTGAGCAGCATTTTTAGTTCCCTTGAGCATTTGCACAAAGGAGAAAGGGAAAACTCACAGGCCCCCACTAAGGGACCAATGGTGAAACAAGGTTGATGACTACTTTACCGTACAAGCAAGGTTTCAACCACTTTGTATTTGCTTACTCCACATGATTAGAAATGTCCAATAATTACTCCCTCTGTCCCAAAACAACAAGCCTTTTTGGACTCCAACTTTTTTAGGGGACATGCAATCAGTGCATTCACACCACGAAAAAAATTTATGATCACTTCCTGGCCTTTTTAAAATAAAAATTTTCACATAGATGAGAACTTTTCAAGACACTGCATGGAAGCTTTAACCATTCAGTAAAATAAGTCCAATTTAACTACTACTTGATATATTAGTTGTAACTTAGATGACGATTATATTGTAAATTCAGTAGTCTGTAGACTTATACAAGCAATGCAATAAGAAGGGTATAATATTTTCCTAACCATTCCTGCATCCCAAACATCCAACCCCCAGGAAAGAAATAAACATAAATACAGCCACTTGATGTGCTTCAGCAAAAACAAATGGCACATGATAGGAAAAAACGGGTGAATGGAATTTGAAAACTAAAGTGAATCAAAACTAGACTTGTATAATTCCAACATTCTCCAACAGAACTCATACCTCCTCATTATTACCCCATCCATCATAGCGTACATAGTACCCATTTGGAGTAAGCGCCTCAATTGTCGCGTCATACCTGAACAGTCAACTAAATCAAAAACAGACAAAAGAACCCAAAAGTAAAGCAAATGAAAAAGAAAAAATTGATAAATCAGTTGGATTCCTCTATCTGAAAATACATACCACTCTCCATCTTCACTCCAAACAGCTTGAACTTTAGTGCCAACAGGAAACTTGTCAAAGTGATCAGATATGGTTCGTGAGTCCTGCAGAAAACAACGGAATTAAGCCACACACACACACACACACACACATGGCACATGTGAAATGTAAACAAAGATATGCATATAAGCATAGAAATAGAGAGTGTTTCACAATATACAGTAGATAGATTAATTTAGTACCAGCTTATATCCAAATATATATGTAACAAAAAATGAACTAGCTTTTTAACATAGTATATCATATGGAGACAAACAACTTCCCATTTAAAAAAAATAAAAACTGAAAGAATATCTTCAGCAAGAAGCACAAATGAGCCAATGCAAAACATTCCAGCAGCAGCAGTGAGTAGTGACCAATAACAAGATAACAAAGGAAAAGGAACAGCAATATAGTAATAACATTTTGTAATTATATAAGTGGAAGATCCATTGGCAGCTGTGCATTACATACCTGGCTTACTGTTCAAGGTGCTGTCTTACATCAACTACAACAACAGAATGTACACGTGGATAGTATTAGGTACCTGACATTTTTTTTTGTGTCATAGTTCAGGTATTTGAAGCTGCCAAGTAAGATTTTTATTTTGAGGGGAAGGGGGGCGGAATTGTCTAGGAAGACTCCCTAATTCCTACTTTTTTTTTTATGCTAAGGCTGCTATACTGTATCTCACTTCTTTGAAAAATATTTTTCATCTTTTCCACTGTAGACTTAATTTAAGCCCGAAAATTATGTCTTCTCTTCCATCAAAAAGAAAATAAAATATTTCATGTCCAAACTCAAAAGCCAACTGCACATAATGTACACTCCCATCCTCCAACACCCCAAACCAAGGAGAGTAGGGGAAATTGAAACCCAGACCCTTCATAAAGATGTTGAACTCCAGAAAGTGTAAAGGAAATTGAAAGTTGTTTTTCCATCCCTAGATAGAGGGACAACCAGAACCAAATGAAAAGTATTCCTTCTCAGTTTGAACATAAGTATATCTCAAATAAGATTTTTTCTCTTCAACTATTTTATGCAAACGGAAAACATTCCATTATTCCTCCGCATGAAGCAAACTATTATTCTTACCAAAGTTTGACCTTAAGTCATACTTCTGTGCTGCTTTCGTAGAAAACCTCAAGTGAATCTTCCACTCATCATAAGTATACATTACTAATTTAAAAATTAAACTGATACAGTAGAATACAATTAGAGGAGATTTACCCTGTTATATGGAGAGGTACCAGCAGAATGGCGCAAACTGTGAGATGCATCAGAACTTGTTTGAATATCCAGTCCGGAATTATCATTTTGTTTTGCAGTTGCCAGAAGTTCTTCTGTCAAAGCAATCACCTACAGTCCAAAATAAAAAAGCCAAATCCAAATCAATTAAAGCAATTATATGTATAACAAAGACCAAAATCTTGTTGAATTTCGAACTTAAAATGTTCGTGTGGACATCTGAAATCCCGAGACAGAGAAGCAGGCTGGACATCACGACAAATAGAAGACCTGCACATGAACCAAGATACAAGTGACGGACATCTTGTAGAGTCCATAGCTCCAATAATTTTGTAAAATCTCCTCAGTTCTCATTGAATCTTGTTTTCCAGAAATAGAATCCTCCCCCTTAGAACCCAAGGTTAAAAACAGATCTCTTTATCATTAGAATATGAATGGATGCTGCTTGTTTGGGCAACATTTGTGTGTGTGTGTGTATGCTAGAGAGGGCGGGGGAGACGGATGCATGACATGTCAACCAACCAAGTAATCACCTATTATCTGGTTTGTGATCCTTTTTACATCCAATGGAATCAACCCCATTTTTTCAAGACATGATAAGAAGCTTACTCTACATGACAATCTCCAGGGGCTCAACTCTACAAAGTTCAGGGATAAAATTAAATAAAATGTCAAAGAAAAATTTCAAGGGGAAAAAACTAAATAAGATCAAATTGTGCAAAGATCACCTCTCCAAGCTCCTTTTCCATGTCTGCATATTCAGAGTTTCCAGGGTCATCATCCAAAAGTTTTCGAACCTGATCCATAAAAAAAAGAGAGAACATTACTAAAATAAACACAAATAAAAGCAGAATGAAAAACAAAGCCCCCCTGGGCCCCAGGGCACGAGCGCAGGCGTGGGGGAAACCAATAAAATCCATGAAAAAATAGGGCAGCCAAACAACTTGCATCATAAGCCACAAGATACTAAAAACAACTTTTGAATTGGATAAAGTGCACATCATAAACTAGCTGTGCGTACTGAGGGACTGGTGCCCAAGACTCCAAAGATAGCTAGCTTGAAAACAAAAGCAACTCTGTCCAACAAAGTAATAGAAGAACAAAGTCTTGTTTAGAAATGTACTTAAGCTGTTTTTTCATTTTCTGTGGAACAAGTAAAGGTAAGAAAAACACTAAACCACCAAAGGTATGGGTGAATCCCGAATATCAAGGAATCTGCTTCCTCCAAAATATATCTCCAACAAAGTAATTTTTTTCTTACTCTACATGACAAACCACCAAAAGACACAGATAAATCACATTCCAAGGAATCTGCTTCCTCCAAAATAAATCTCTAACAGCGAAGAAATAAATTCTTAAAAGCTTGGGAGTTGATATATCCTCAATCTCAAAAGATCTTCTATTTTCCCCCTCCATGAACACCACATGAGACAAGGGCATCACCTGCTATACCTCTTAAATATCTTCTAAAAATCTATCTTTAGAATCCACTGACATTCTTCACCCCTCTAAACATACCACATCAATTAGTGGTGGTGTTACCTCTGAGCCTCAAACTGTCCATAGCAATAGTGTTACCTCTGAACCTTAAACTGTCCATAGTTAGCATAGCCACCAAAGCTGTGGCCCATGAAAGGAGAAAACAAGAATCTTCAAAGGTGCCTTGACAATTATTTCATTAGGAATGCAGTTTACGATGAACCCTAAGCACCATGTTGTGCAATCTTTATCCCATATAACCCTATTGAAAGAGTTCTACAGTACCTTATCCTCTCCAAAAAATAGAAGGAACAAACACAATATAGTCACGTCGTATAGGAGACATGGCAAAGTGTCCACTCACTCCAGCTCCCAATCCAAAAAAAAAAAGTCAAAGCAAAACTAGAGTTCCATGTCACTTCCAGGATGGACTACTTGTCCTTCTGCTTCTTGTAATGCTTTTACGATTAATAAAATCTTTTGTGTTTCTGGTCAAAGAAAAATGATGGTATAACTTCTATGCATAAGCCTTTTGCTTGTATTGCCAGGCCATATGGTCACTTAGAAAACACATGACTCACCAACAAGCACAATGCAAAAAATCTAGGAGACTGGAAACTCTATCCACCGCATGTCAGTGAGTATGATGATCCCTATCTGATGATCCCGGCGGCACAGGGCCATCTTCGCAAGTCTTCTTGTAATGTCACCAAGATTAGTCGACCCTAAGATATGACAGTGACAATATTTTTCACTACTACAAATTACAGCAACACCATTTAAAAAACAATAAATTCTACCTTAAAACACCACTAACCAACTAACCTAGTTAGAGCATCTCCAACCTTGACTCAAATGTAGACTCAAATTTAAATTTGAGTCAAAATGGCCTAAAACACTTCTCTAACCTTGGACTCAAACCCATACCAAATCAAGACAAAACTTGTTCTGGACCCAAATTGAAGGAGACTCAAATTCTATATCAAATTTCTAACGGTAACTTTTTAACCAATTCAAAACTAAAAGACTTCTTTAACTACTTGTTCTCTGTCTCTTCTTGCATTTCTCTACGACACTACTTCCATCGCCAACTACCACCGAAACTTTCACAAATCATTTGAAGGCCTGTAGGTAAGTTTTTTGCTTTTCATCTTCCATTTTCTTAATTTCTTGTATTTTTCAAAACCCTAATCTCACCCATCTTTCATACTATATAAACCCTAAGTTTACCCATCAAATTTTTCTTTTATTTTTTTGAGTTAAACACTATCAGTTGTACAATTTCAAACCACCGATTCTTCCTGAAATTTTAAGCCTTCGGTACCCACAAATTTAAAAAATTTATCATTTTATTTCTTCAATCTTCCATTTTTGTTAAAAAAAAATATATATGTTTTTGTATTCTTCAGACTATGCCCATGTTAACTATTTTTTTTTTCTTTATCTAGATTTATAAAAAAATGATAAGGGATTAGAATAATCTTAGTATTCTGGGGTGGTTTCTTTATTTTCATATAGTGTTATATACATATTCATTTTTTTTAATTATACATTTGTGGAGAGATGAAAGTTTCATTTATTTTATCAAATATTATAGTTTGAATGACACAAAAAAATGAGTTTTGAAATAATAAGAAATTTTTTTAAAAGATTTGAGCAGATATTTGAGTGTGCTCATTGGAGTACTCTATACCAAATCAAGTTTTTTACTCAAATTTACACTCTAATTTGAGTCTTGGAGATGCTCTTACCATCGTTAAATCATAGAACCTAAAAAAAGGGCCAAAAGAGCCCTAACAAAGCAAAAAATTTCAAGTCTCTGCCCAACAATAATTGCCCCTAGAAATCCAACAATCCAGTAATAATATATATTCAAGCCATCTAAGGTTTCAACCTTCCAGATTGAAAAACGACAAAAGAAATTAGAATTTCAAATAATAATGAATAATCCTACATTCCTGTTTATTACGCTTTCCTGAATTCAAGCATATATATTCTTTTTACATCGAGTTTCATTTGCAAAATTAAATGAAAAGATTTCAATTGTGCGTGAATAGTAGGTACCTGCTGAAGCTGTTCTTTGTAAGTAGAGAGATTTGAAGCGAGTTCTTCTACATTGAGCTCTTCGACTCCTCCTTGCATCTTCGTCTTTCTTCTTTTTTATTTACGCTTTTGATTTTATTGAATTGAATTTCAATGGAGATTCGATTGATTACTTGATAATGATCTCAGAAAAAAAGATGCACTTAACATAACTCAAAAGGGCGGAGAGAGAGAGAGAGAGAGAGAGAGAGAGAGAGAGACCCTTCCTAGCCCGAGACGCAGACAAGAGTGGGGTTTTATCATTTAAGGGTATAATATATTCGGTTCCCCTAGGTTTGTCACTTAGTTAGATATACCCCTAAAGGGTTTTATTTGTTTCATATTGACCCCTAACATTAAATTTCGTGTGATTGACCGTGCATTTCTGATGATGTCAGCATATTTTGGAAACAAAATTCCTATCTTATCCGTGCAAAATCCATAAAAAAATTCAATAAAATTTCAAACCAACCGAATAGGTTTAAAATTTTAATTCCTAAACAACGCCCCCTCAATTTTCAATATTTGAGAAATTGCCCTTAAATTTTCAAAGTAGATTTTATTTTATTTGATTGTTAGGAGTGGGAATGTGAAACAGGTATTTCAAATATGTTGGCATAATCAAATTGGATTATGATAGCAAGAGAATTATATGAATTTATAAAGAGAATATAGAGAATATATATATGTTAGAGATTAAATTTCTCAACCTGTGTATTTTTCAATGTGACGAGGACTTCTTTTTATAGACCTCAAATAATAATAGTCATCAAATACAATATTAACTCTAAGCAGAGTTATAGAGTCAAATACTAACACCTCTTAGATTTGTAGGCAAGAGTTCATCTATATATATATATACAATATATTTATAACACTCCCTATTGGATGACTATTATGCTAAGATAATATGCCTCCTTAAAACTTTGTTAGGAAAATCCTGTGGAAAAAAACTTAGCAAAGGAAAAAAGTACATATTTAGATAAATTTTAGAATAGCATTGGATGTACTAATGTTGCCTGATTAAAACCTTTTTAGAAAAACCCAGTATGACAAAACTTAAACGAAAGAAAAAGAGTAAAATATGCATATGTCATGTATTTTGATGTGAATACCCCCCGATTAGAAATCAATTGGATTTGTCGCAACATTTTTCCCATTCCAATGTCATATATCAGTCTCTTGAGCATTGATGACGGCAAATTTTTAGTGAATAGATTTGCATGATTGTTATCGGAGGGAGGAGAGAGAGAAGAAACCCCCAAACCCGGACAAGAGTGGGGTTTTATCATTTAATGGTAATCTATTTGGATCCCCCTAGGTTTGTCATTTAGTTACATGGACCCCAAAGGGTTTTATTTGTTTCATATTGACCCCTAATGTTAAATTCCGCTTGATTAACCGTCCATTTTTTATGATGTCAACATATTTTGGAAAACAAAATTCCTGTCTTACCCATGCAAAATCCATCAAGAAATGCAATAAAATTTCAAAACAACCCAATAGTTTTAAAATTTCAATTCCTAAAAGACGGCCCCTCAGTTTTCAATATTTGAGAAATTTCCCTTAAGTTTTCAAAGTGGATTTTATTTTATTTGATTGTTAGGAGTGGGAGTGTGAACCCGATATTTCAAATATGTTGCCATAATCAAAGCATCAAACAATTGTTGAGTTTTAGGGTGTGTGTGTTTATATGGACTCTGCAGCCTCCACCTTTTTAAGGTGTTGGTTGTAGTTGTCCTCTATTAAAAAAAAAAAACAATTGTTGAGTTTAATTGGTAGTGGATTTTATGTTGTTTTTTTCTTTTCAATGGTCAGTGCGATGTTCGAATTAACTTACGCATATCTCGACTAATCTCTTCTTCAGTCCGGTGAAAGGTAGGTCATCCATATTGGGACATAAATATTCATTAGAAATAAATCTCTCGTGACCTAACCTCAAGAAATTGTCAAGATATTGAATTTGTCACTCATCCTTATTACCACTTAAATTATTATTGGAATTGATTTTTTGTTGATTTGATTATGTCAATTTGGTCCTCTAACTCTGATTGTGAAGTTTTTTTCTTAACTTATCATATTTTTTTATACTCAGAAGACATTATGATTTTAACCTATACTCTTTTAATGCAGAAGGGTGGTTTTAAATAATTTTTTTAAGAAAATAATGATAGGTTAAAAATACATTAAAAAATGCATGATTTTGATCAAGAATAAAAATTAAGAATCCTAATAAGATGGAAATTAACCCCAATTTTGCGCATAAAAAGTCTAAATATAACGTCGATCAAATAGAGTATAATTCTCTTTATCATGTGTTATAATTATTCATTGATTGGTTATGTAATGCACTCTTCAAATAAAAACATAAAGTTGGAGGACTAAAATTCACCAAATTTGAAAGTCATGAAATGAAGTTGAGATTAAGATAACCTTTCAAGATATAGAATGTACTTTAACATGGAAGTACTTCAGAAAGGAAGAAACAAAGATTCTAATCGTCATTTATTGATACCATCCATTTGCAGAAGAACCCGTAATTGTCGCATAACTTTACATCACGTCAATAACATCTCCTTAATCGGAATCATTACTCACACGTGTAACCTTCATACACTTTATCATTTACTAATTTGTGTTCCTCAAAGACTTAGTAAAACATTTAAAAATTTTGAAGTTTAAAGAAAACTTACTGGTAGAAGTGTTCAAAGTTCTACTGGTAGAAATAGTCTACTGGAATTCTTCTACCGGTAGGAACAGTGACGTTCTACCAGTAGGAGAACCATACTGGAAAAGTTCTACCAGCTAAACCTATCGGTAGAAGCTGTCTACTGCACCACATCTACTGGTATAAGAACCAAATGTACTACCGGTAGGTAGGGATGACAGTTGACCGGAGAAAAACGAGTATTCGTCCAAATATGTCCCATTTGGACCGGGGATGGACTACACATATCGGATGATGGACATATATGAGGATACTCGTATAAACCAGTATGGGGATGAAAACGGAGATGGACCGCCCCTTACCCCCGCTCCCACCCCACCTCCGATTACCCATTATACATATATTGTAAAATCAGTTGGCAATATGTTATCCCATATTGTAGGACTAACACTCCTACAGTGCATCTTGGCTGAAAAATAGATGATAAAGAGGATAATGTAAAATCAGTTGGCAAGAAGTCATCGCATATGGTGGTTCCAACTTCCAAGTTGCACTTTAATTGAAAAAACAGACTACAAAGAGATTACTTTGTAGTTTATTAAATATCCTGCCATAGTAATGGTGATAATTGATATGAAATAACTAGAAGGATAAAGTCCTTAATTGTTGACTTGATTAAGATTGCTTATTATGCAATTGATGAACTGACAAAGAATTTCCTTATAGATTAGGATTCCAGTTAGAAGAAGGCTGTAACATGAACAGTTGGTGGCTCTAATGGCCCTTTAATAAATTATAGTATGATTTAATAAACATTGAAGTAGTCGCATGGTTTTAGCTCAATGGAGATTAGTCCAATTTGTTACATAATTAGTCCAATTTGGTAGCTAAATGGAGCTTAGGCTTGAGCTTGAGCTTGAGCTTGGGCGGGTACGGGGGAAGCGAGGATTAGAAATTTACTCGCTGATGAGGATGAAAATGAAAACTATACCCGTTAATGTGGATAGACCGAGGATGGACGAAGTTTTTTTAAGCAGGTATGGGGATGAAGACTACACCCCCCGCTCCCGCTTCAGTCCATTGACATCCTTATCGGTAGGTGTGCCCAGTTTTGTTCATTTCATCCATTTTCAATTTTCAATCTATTTCAATTCATCCCATATCAATCCGAATATATATATCATGGAGTTTTACATTCAACATAATCCACATGAATTCAATTACAATCATTTGCATATGATTACATTCCAAAACTAAATTACATAAAAATTTCATAAAATATGGTTTAAAAGGTATAAGTAAGCTTTTCTTCATTAATAAGGGCCCAAGTGAGAGCCGTCCACCAGCGTATGTCCCGTACTTGAAATGTTGTCCTCATAAAGGGTGAGCCACACTCAATAGGGTATCTCCTAAAAAGACTACTCCCCAACCTAGATGCATATAAAATGTTCACATGCAAATTCAACAAACAACAATCATCCATTCAAGAACATGAAATTCAATGATGGATCCTTTATGTCATGTCATGTCATGTTATGAGATGAGATTCACACATACAACTCAACCCGAACATTTACTAGCTCTCATCACCCATGCAATGTTATGAGTATAAAATCGGGCATTCTAAGCCCTTGCCATTAATGTTGCACATCCAACGACATTTTTAAAAATAAACCATGTATCATTGTTTAAACTTTCATCGGCGGAAGTGTATAAACCAATAACCGGGTCTTGCACTCGAGGGAGTATCTAGTCTTTCTTACTATACTTGACACAAGTTTTACTTGCAATCGTGCAACTATGTCAAACCTTGGTCCGACTGTACCGAGCCTATTTATCAACCACCAAGAATGGTGCTTGATCCAACAACATGCACACACATCCACACTCTTGTCAAATGCCCACAAATGCAATGTTTCTTGTGCTTATGCAAATATATATATATACAATTGCAATTCTCAACTATGTTCAATATGTTAAGAGTGTCATATGAACCATTTCAACTACATTTCAACATATTTCATAGCTAATTATATAATATGCATATAATCACCATAAATTATCTTAATGTCCATACATCACCAAGTATATATCAACATTTTATCCAACAATAATTTTCAAGCATGTTATTACATAATCTCATGCAAATAATACACTTATTTCTCCAAGGCATAATATAACACAACATGCCCACATATCATAATATTTCAAGAAATTACAAATTAGCAATTTCTAAATACCAATTCATGCTAGAATTGATTTGACTCAGTTTCAATACCCATTTTATCAAATTAACAACAATAGGAAAGTTTTATATATCTCTAACACTATACTCATTCCATATAATCACCTTAGGTTAGAAATAAACTTAATTAGAGAGAAAACCCTACCTCTTGAAGCGTAAAATGATGTTAGGAAGCTTCAAGAATTTCAAATTACACCTAAACCCTTGATTTCTCCAAGCCCCATTTTTTGGAACTTCACTCAAATTCGTGCCTTTTGGTGTAATTGTGTAGCTCTCGATGAGAAGAACAACTTTTATTCTTGGCTTAAGTTGATTTGAGTGACGTAGAGACGTACATTGTAGAGATAAGGTGTGAAACCCTTGCTTTTCTCTCTCTCTTCTTCCTATCTCTTTTCTAATGGGTAAAAGGCTGAGAATTGGGGAAGAAAATCTGATTTTCTTCCTCTTTTCTACTCTCCAAATACTTGGTCCTCATTCCGTCACACGTTCTCCTTTCTCGAGTCTGATTTTGACCCGAATCGATTAAATCTCGTTCTTATTCAAGTTTAAAATATTTTTATATGAATTATCTTTAAATTATTATCCAATTTTTGAAATTTAATTCTCATGTTCATTTATGAGGTCACCCTACATCCGATCGCCTCGTAAAATACAAAAAAATTTGACTATTTCAGAATTCAACGAAAATTGACCTAGTAATTACATTTTACGAGACAAATCCAATGGTGAGGTTCGTTTTGTCATCTGAGTTCTAGAAAAATTCAGATTTTCATCCAGTACCGTAATGACAAATTATTTTATTTACCATTTTTTCATAAAAATTCAAATTTATCCGGGTTTTACATACTGATTTGAGACCCATTAAATATGATTAATTCTACTTAAATTTATGACCGTAAATGAAAATAAGAAAAAATGTAGTGAAAGTAATTTAGACCACATTACAATTACTAATATTAATTTGATAGTTCGTTCACTAATACATGTTATGTAAATATGTAAATAAGAAAATTGGACGATGATTGAACCTTATAAAAAATAGTCTTATTTCCAAAGTAGATAATATATATGATAATTTGGTGTATACAATTAAGATTCTAATATTTACCCAGCTTTCAAGTCTTTCATTTGAAGTCATTGTAAGTTTCGATGGTCACTTATGATATAACTAAACTAAATTGTTTCATAGCAGGAACCTCTATTTTGGATAATAAGTTGTTTATTCGAAAGACTGCTCCTTTTTATCAGCTGTTGTGCATATTGTTATGGCACCTAGAGCCCTCATTTTGCATCTTGAAAAGCAAGAATAAGATTTTCAAATAAAACTATAGGTTATAATTTTTGTCTCCTCATTTTTGGATTACTTTTGATAATGACTCGTAAAGTTATTTAATATACTATGTTTACCCCCCCTCCCCTAAAATTTTGAAAATTTCTATAATAGTTCTAGGTAGTCTCTTTTTTTTCCCCAGTAAATTAGTGGTTCACTATTCCTCTAAAATAAATGTTTTATTTTTAGATTAAATAAATCAGTTATAACCACCGTGATCTATTTGTATATTAATCAAAAGAGAATACTTCTTTTTATCTAACATAATGTTCATTACTTTTTAAGAACTATTTTTATTTTCCATTTATTAATTTTTTTTGTAATAACTTAATAAAATACGATTGGATACAAAATGCAAAATATTGTAAACAAGAAATGTTTCAAGCTATTTTGAATATGTAATTTCTCTAGAAGATCGATAATAATTTCAACTAACTTTCACAATTAAATGAAGAATGATTTTACTACGGACTTGTAATTGTACAAATTGATAGAAAATTAGTGAGAAATTAATTTATACTTAATTAATATACAAAATTTTAGAGATTTTAAAGAATATTGTATTTTATTGAAATATATAATTATGTTAAAATGTATTTAAAAAAATATTTTATGTATTTTTGTTCAAATTTTATTTAAGCTGAATAAAAATTGAATTTCATAATAATTTTGTTTTGAGTCTTAATTTTTTTCATTCTTAAACTTAATTTTTTTTGTATCAACTAGTAAATTATTTTTAATTATATTTTGCCCTTCCCTCATGGATATTCCTAGCGCCGCCTTTGTCTATACGCACCACATTTAGTAACTTTGTGTCACTTCTTGCCTTCCAGAAAGGTTTAGAGAACTCTAGTCAGATAGAATGGGGTTTATTACCGTTAAGTCTATTTGAAGGAACATTTTAGAATATACTATGGAGGTAAGGAAGAATCTTAGAGAGACATGAAATGTTCTTGTGTATGGTAGATTACTAGATACTTGTATAGAATATCCTAGAAATAGCCTAAATGCTTGACATTTAGAAGTATACTATCCACACATTGTAAGGTCAAAGGCCTATAAATAGGGGTGAATTCTCATTTGTACTCATAAGTCTCATATTGTAATCTACAATAAACTACCTTCTCTCAAACTCTCTTGTCCCTACTTAACCTATATTCTCTCAAACTATCTTGTCCTACTTGTTCTCTTCTTGTGTCTTCTCTAGCATTTTGTAATAATTAGGTTAGAATACTTATTTAACACTTTCAAAAGAGCTTGCTAGTGTCTAAGTGTCACATACTTGTTCTCTCCTTGTGTCTTCTCTAGCATTTTGTAATAATTAAGTTAGAAGACTTCAAAAGAGCTTGCTAGAGTCTAAGTGTCACATGAAAGCTTGAAATTCGCAAGGTCATGGCAGTCTACTTTTGGCTACTTGGTTCCTTCTTAGACTGACAAGCCTTTTTAATGAAACAACCATCCCAACATATAGTATTCATATCCATCTCATCCGGGCCTTACTAATAAGAATAACCTATGGCACTCATTAGCAAGTGATTCTAAATCAGGGCTCTCTAAGTGAAGGTTATGATCAACGTTGAAAATTGCAGACAGTTGTCTTTACCAATATATTTATTTGTAACATATGGAAACTAGATTTGAAAAACAAATAACCTCTTTTCAAACGGATGAATTAACCCATGCCCCAATTACGTCTATAGGAGTTTTGGATGATCCAAAAATCTTGTCTTACTCATCAGTATCATAGCCTATAAATAATACGTCACGATGACCCAATTTGTACTTCTCAAGTATCACTACAAGAAATATCAAAAAAGTCGGCACGTGGACAAAATGCCGTTCAATACCGGCGTTTATTCATAAACGCCACAAAATTTCTAATAAAAAGTAATGGAAATCTGTTTTTATTTCACTTCCATGACTTTTTTTTTGGTCAACACTTCCCAGGCTTGACGTAAGTATTTTTCTCCCAAATTCTCTTCGTCACCGCATCCTCTCTCTCGACTAAGAAGAGTGGGTTGTTGAAAATTGGTGATTTTTGAATTTTAGACTTGCAATTCTCTCATATCTCTATAATTTGGGAGGTTTTTTGCATGGAAAAGTATGAGAAAATAGGTTCAGGTATGAGACAATGGAGGATCAGGCTATTCTCGAAACCTCCTATCCCTGCACTGTCTTCAATTGCGAATTCTAGATCAATGAAAGTGAAAAAAGACGATGCATAGAAAATTTGGTTGAGAAAGGGGAATCGATCGGGTGTGGTGTGTTTGGTAGAGTTTATATGATAATGGATCTTGATTCCGGAGGCTACTTGTTATTGAAGAGGTAAAATTTGTTTCTCTTTTGCTTATTTTCAGACAAAATGCCGTTTTGCTCAAATTACTAGTAAATTTTTACTTACGCATATGATTTATAGAAAATTCATTTTAATCCTAGTGGTGTGAATATAAGTATAGATTGAATTGGGTTCATTTATGAGTTGAAAATTTTTACTTGATTATTATGAATGATTGTGCTTCAACCATTCATTATGCCTAGGTTTTGCTTCTTTGTATTGTAATTTTTTCTTTCCTGGTCGTTTTCTAGGTGTTAAGAGTGTTGAAGGGGACTTGAAGTAGTTAAGGTTCTTGGTTCTTCGCCTGTAAAGAGCATGTTTGAAGCTTTGGAGCAGACCGGCCAAAAATGTTGCAAGATCGAAGGGAAATCAGAGTTTTGACAGAATTTTGTCATTAGTTGATTCTTTCATTTTTCCTTATTTTTTTCCCTTGCACATGGTAGAGTTCATTGTGAAAGCTATGGAGGTTGGTCTTACTGAGGTAAAAATCCTGGACGACGTGTGCAAATGTGATGCTAGTTTAAGATGGAGGTAGACATTGAAAAACCCAAAAACTTCCTTTAGATACAATTGATTAAGATCATTCTTCGATTTCCAAGAACATCAAACCTGCAAGCACGCTTCATTTACATCCTATAAAACATATAACTTCAGACACTGCTGCTTATATTTTCCACAGGTAAGAAGCTCAATGATCTAGCACCAACATCACCCAATAAAGTTTTATCCAACAAGTCAAGAACGAAAGGTTTGAGCAGAAACTTAGCAAGAAAAGAGTTTCAATTTGAGTTGGAGGGAAAAGATGGATCTTCGACAACAATGTTTTATTCCCTATTAAGGGTTATGGCCAGGAAAGTCAGAATCGTGCTGCTCGCTAATGGATTCCTAATTGGATGTGGACTGCTGAAGATGAGATTGGTGGAGCTATCATGAAGCATTACATGGGTCAATCAAAGAACACTTGATGTCTGGCTACTCTTAACCATTCGGAAGTTCTTATATGTATATACCATCAGTGTAATGTGTAAAGTTAAATCCAACTAGAATGGAAATGCAACTAGTCCATCTTTAAGGAACCCTTCCAGCATATACTATATGGGAAATCCTAGGATACTCCAAATCTATTTATTCAGCAAAAACAATTATAAGAAAGCCCACCCTGTAATCTTTCCTTGAAGCATTCCCGATCTCCTAGAAAGAGACGATGACATGTTCTTTCTTCACGATATAAAAAGTGTACTCTACCGCACTAGCAACAGTTATTGCAAAACATGCAGATGAGTTGACATACACACCAAAATCAGTTTGCCAGTCCAGACCATTATTGCAGTTCATCTACAAATATTCAAAAAGGACAACTGTTTTCACCATTATAAAATTATATGACTAGCAGCTGATAAAACATTCAAACAGTGTCACAAAAGACAGGTAAATAGAAATAAAAAGGAAGAGATTTCGGGCATATACATTGTTTTGTACAAGTAAAGATGATTCTTTAATGAACTTTATTTTCATAATAAACTATACAAATACAATTTATGTGCCACGATTCACTAAACTTAGTCTCCACCAAACAAATACTCATGAATAGCAAGTTGATCTAACAAGCATTGAATCAAAAACACTTCTTCGACTGATAATATGTCCAATTTATTCATCGGTAGGAAGTAAGCAAATTCTTGTTTTGTCGCCCAAAAATGCTTTTGCATCATGGACCAGCTGACAATCAAGATTAACCAAGAAACAACAAGCCTAAAGCTACTTAACTAGAAATAACCAACCGATTGCTGTCAAGAAGGATGTAGTACCTTTAGATCAACATAAATTTGAGCTGTGTTTTGAACATGTATGAGATCACTCATAATGACTTTAAGTTGTTTCTTAGCCTTGGCCCTTCTTGAACAACTCTCAACACATTGTGCTACAATAACATCAGCATAACAAGTAACGCAAAGGTTCCTCATGTTCTCCGGCTCGCATTCGCCTACAAAAATAAAAAAAGATCAATACAAAACTAAAATAAGAATTCAGTTAAACTAGGTAAGAAAATAGAGGAGTGTTGTTTTAGAACCAAGAGATTTTTAAGACAAATTTGTAAAGAGTTAGGACTATCAACTAGCAAGGTCTGGGATGACAATCTAAAAATTAAGTAACAAATTTAGGTATATGTAAATCTCTATCAAGAGGCATCACAACATTAGGGGGGAAGAATGGAGCCCCTAAACATCAAATTTTAAAAAAAAATTCATTTTAAAATGTGATATGCATGCCATGCATTTCATTTCTCTCAGTTGGGTCATGCACAAGCTTGCCTATACAAGATAAGAATAGACTGGTGTGTAATTTACAAAAATAAACGAAAGAGTGTATTAAGATTAATGGGGCCCTATTAAGATTAAGTGTAATAGTATAGATATTATTATGTAGTTATAAAAATAACTAAACATAAATTATGTTTATCTAATTTTTTTTAGCTTTTACATCTTTTATTGTAAATTTAATTTTATTAAATTTTTAGTTGTTCAATGGTTAATCCTTTACTTGCACTTATATTTTTATTTTGTTTATCACTAACAAAATTCTACAAACTTGTTTTTTTAGGTTGAATTAATTTTTTTAAAATTTTTTTTTTGCCTTTTTTTATACCAACATTCGTATTTACAAGTAGATATAAACCTACTTCAAGTGATTAAGCAACCTACTGAGCTAAAAGAAGTGTATAATATATTATTTATTTGCAACCAATTAATAAAATACACAACCAATTTGTCTATATAGATGTTGTGTAATTGAAAAGAAATTGGTCCTCTTTAGACTGAGCTGAAAATCTTTCTCGGCCCTTAAAATGTGGGGCCTAAGCGGCCACCTTACTGTGTCACTTGCAATAAATAAATGAAAAATTTGGAGGCCGGTCCTCTTTTATAAATTTATTTAGATTTAAGTCTGTCAAGAAAATTTATTTGTTATAAAGTCCATTTTTTATTAATTTTACCAGAATATCTATTTCCTTTACAAGTGAAGTAAAACTAAAAGATAAAAGCTCCTAAATTTTAGGAGTTTGATTATCATTAAAAAAATTTCTTTTTCATATTTATTTACTAGTAATAACTTGTGCCTAAAGGAACTTTGCAACTTAAAAAAAAACCTTTAATTTGAAATAATTTTTCTTTCTTTTGTTTTAATTAAAATATTTGAAATAAATCTAGCTCCTATTATTTTTTCAAAAAATTTTGACAAAATTTCCTTTGAAAATAAGAATTCGAAGAAATATTAACTTGTCTACTTTGCTAATATATCTTATTGTATGTATCACTGTCATGCACAAACCATTGCATTGTCCAACACAATCCATTGCACTCCAATCTCAAGAAAAAATTACTCAACCTAACTCAAAAATATAATCATATTTTAATCACTATCCAATTCAAACCAAAATAACATTTATATCTTAATAACAAAAGTCACAATCACATGTTATATATGCAAGTTCAACCAAAGATTGATCCATGGCTAAAGATACCGTGAAATACAAAAATTTTTCTATTTTGAAATACAATTGAAGAAAGCTTATAAAGCTAAAGGAAATAATGCATATTAAATAGGAAAAAGCTTCAAATTGTTTCTTTCAATGTTACAATAATCAGATGAATTAAAAAGAATCTTACTTCCTCATGTAATCATGTCTTAATTTTTCCAAGGAGATTGACAGAAAAGAAAGACTTTTATGATAATTTAAGTTTCAGTCCCATAGCATTTTGCGCATCAACACCTGCATGATCAAATTCATAATCAATTAAATAATTTTAGCCAAAAATATGACACACCTAAAACAGTTCCACATTGCGATTTGTCGAATCAAGAGTTATCCAATTTCAGTATTAAGTTATTTTAAATACCAAAATTACACAACGTCAAGTTTTTCACAGCGTGATTTAAAGTTTAATGCGATCAATAATGGAGTATTTGAAATTCATGAGTTCGATTCAGGCTATAGAAAGCAATACTGGGTCTGAGGGTGATGAACATGATTCTACCACTAAAGAAAGTGAGAGTTAAAAGGAGGATCTAAGCAAGAATCATTTGGCCCAACCTTGTACACAGTCAGGCAACCCCACATATTCTATAGGGAGCCATACTTGCATAGTTCTATGAAAGTAGTCTCATCAACAATATATTAAAGAGATTTGTAAACCACAACTTTAAAAGAGACTCAATTCTTATTAAAAAAAAGCCTCTCAAGTGACCACACCAATCAGTTCAAAAACAAAAAAGTCACCACACTGATAACCCTCTGACCCTAATCCATCCCAAAACCCTTTCACAATAATGGTGCTTACTCACTTCTTAGACCCCTACTAATTTTAGATTGCAAAACGTACTTTGATCCATTACATCCAAAGTTTAGGTAATTTGAAATGCAACCAACATAAAACTATAAATATTTGTTCCATAGCACTAAATATGATAATAGAGAGCTAAGAGTTGGTAAACATAAAACACAATTAATTTACAATATATTCGCATGTATTGATTTCTGAACAACACCCGAAAACATGACACAACCACCGAAAGAATATATGTTGGTCTATATGTTTGATCGCATGAATCAGCTATTCATTTCATAGGGAGAAAGATAGAAAAATTTACCAACTTGACTTTGGGCTCACATCGAATATTCCAACTTTTCATATTCGTAGCCTACACCAACAAAAACAACCACACCACACCCAAATCATAAATCCCAAACATAATGCATATCTTAGTTCAACAAAATTCAAGCCATATGTGTGAATTTAGATGAGATCTTGGCTATTCAACTGAAACGAAATTGAATCTAAGTCGTCCTTGTGCTTTCCCAACTTTAGAGATTCAATATACACTCAATCTTATTAATATAGATTATCATTCCTTTGTTCTTCAAAAGATAAAAAAACCGACAACTATCAATTTCTTAACAAATCAGCCTCTTATTATTTCAAATCTCTTTCCACCAAAAGTTATGCAACATTATTAAAAAAAATATAAATCAATCCAAGACTAAATATAATCAGCAAACAATTGAGCTATATAACGATTGTCACAAATTCTTAAGAACAAACTTACCAACGAATTACAAATCATATAATGACTTTCTCATTTGAGATACTAACTATTTCTAAAAATTGCATGAAACAAAATTATTGGTGGGTTCATGTGATTTTGTATATATTTTGCAATTATTGCCATTAA